CTTTCCCTCTGCACAATTAGTTCTACCAACTGGTATGGCCAGACTCATTAAAAAACATTAGCTGGAAGGTACTTGAGTCAACTCTGGTTAGGAACTAAGAGGGGTTTTTAGGTTAAGTGAAACCTTCAGGTTGGGTAGGCTCCACTGCTGCAATTTAGCAATCATGAGGCCAGTGTGGTTTCGTGTGATCCTGGATGCACATCCAGATTAACCTGTGGGAAGTTCTCCGTGGGAGAGCTCTTTGAGCGTGGCAGCCCTGGGCAGAAGGTGCACCACAGGAGGGACTGGAGTTGTTACCGCGGGGCCGATTCCTTCCTGACCGGAGCCATTTCAAATGCAGCGTCTTATCTAAATCTCTATGGGCACCTGCTGCTTCTCCAGATGAAGCAACATCACTCAACTATCCCTGTGTCTTCTTGACTGCCTGCCTGAGGTTATGTGGTGGGAAATGCTTCAAGAAGCATAGCCCTTGCAGATGCAAACTACATTCTTTGTGTGCCCCAGCCCCACTCCTGAATTCTGGTGCTGCAGGTGGCAAGAACCTGCTTCACAGATGGGTCTTGACATCTGTTTTCCTGCATGTTCCCTTAATTATTTCCTCATCTCCTTTGCCTGCTCCCCCAAGCCCTAATTCCTTTTTACTCCAAGCCCAGAGCTGCTGATCACGGAAGCAGAAAAGTGCTATTCCCAGCCTGCATTTAGAATAAAATCAACATTTCCTCCCTCTCCCATCCGATGGGATAAATGAGGCCATTTCCCCAATGAGTGAGGAAACGAGATGCTGCCCTGTCCCTGTGAACTTGTGTGTGTGGAGTAGGGGACCGAGCATGCGTCACAGGTCTCAATGATGCTTTAAGTGCACCAAGAACCCTTTCTCACTCGATCTCTCTCCCTTGCAGGCCATGGTGGAGACGGTGAACAACCTCCTGCAGCCGCAGGCTTTGAACGCGTGGAGGGACCTGAACGCGAGCGAGCAGCAGCGCGCGGCCACCAAGCTACTGGACACGGTGGAGGACAGCGCCTTCGTGCTGGCCGATAACCTGCTGAAGACCGACATCGTCCGGGAAAACACTGACAACATCCGTAAGGGACAGACCCCATAAGTACTGAGAGCAGCAGAGGGAGAGGAAAGGCTGGGAAACCTGGCTTTGGTCTTGAACCCGAGATTAACCAGAGAGCAGTTTGTTGGATATGTCTTAGCCCTTTGTCTGAGAGACTTAAAAGTCTTTCTAAAAGTGCCTAAAGCAATAAGGCAGCTCTCTACCCTTGAAATCCCATGGAAAATGAGCATCTAACCCGCCTTTATTACTCCTGACTTTGAGGGTGAAATCCTCACTAGAGCAATGAAAGCACCGCTTCGCAGGGAGGTTGTTCATCGAAATGCAATTGTGTTTCATTTCATACCAATTTGTGTCTTTATTTGGCTGATTGTTGATTTTAATTAAGAAACAAGCATGATGGAAAGCACCAGCACTCCCACCGTGCATATGTAAAATGAGAACAACTCTTCTTTTTATTTCTATGAATACGGATCCCCAGCACTGATAACATTTACGGAAAGTACCAATTGCCAGTGGCAAAGAACTAGCGTTTTCAGATTTTCATTTTAACCATTGTCCTTAATATCCTGAGGTTCTTGTTTACAAGAAGCGGTTGTCTTTTGTCTTCCGCAGAGACTAGAATTTATTTGCTTTTATTTTTTTGTTGTTGTTTTTAATTAAATTTAAAACTTCTGCGGGGCAAAGATTTAAAAGGAAATAAGAGCCCAAACAGAGTCTAGCGTGAAACCCTGTAAGTTGATTCCCCTGCTCTCAGGTGGTGTGGAGCACCATTTTGTAGCTTTGAAATAGCGTCTCGGAGATTATCTCGGTCGAGATTTTTCTTAGTGTCAGTCTCTCTCGCAAACAGAGCTGGAAGTTGCGAGACTGAGCACAGATGGGAATCTGGAAGATCTGAAGTTTCCCCAGAACATGGGCCACGGGAGCTCCATTCAGCTGTCGGCAAACACCTTGAAGCAAAACGGTCGAAACGGTAGGTCCAGCACCACGTGAATGCAAAGGCATCGTTTTGTGTTTAACCAGTTGCAAGTATAGTGTTAATTGCTCTGTTAATATTTAAATTAGCCACAGCATCAGTTGCTCATGCCCTCATCTGTGGGCTAAGGTGGCTGACGGGGAATGTATTATGTCGCAAAGTGACTCACAGCCTTCAAAAGTCTGACGTGCTGGTAAAAATGCATCAGATCCTTAAACGATGCGGCTGCTGGGGCACAGCGCTGAGTGGAGAAGTGCCTTTAACTGCTGTTGTCTGCAGCAAGAGGCTTCGGGTGGAATAAGAGGCTTGTTTGAGTAAACTGCTTCACAGTGGGGCACTGTATAAATAACTAAAAAGGGAAGGGGAAGAAACGATAGAAGCAAATATTAATAATGAGCCAACATGGCAGAAAAGGTTGATTAACTATTATGAACCTAAATCTTCCTCATCTTTCTCTCTGAAGCTTATGAACCTCCTGATACAGCATAAATTAAAGATGATGTTCTGTGTCAATGGTGCTCATGCTGCCAAGCCATTTATTTCCAGCCCAGGAATCGGAGCAGACACGTTTGTTGATGTCTACAGCTCCACTATAGACCAACTTCAAACTGCCAGTCCTTCTGCTAATGGGCTTGACATGCTCCTGTTTCTGAGTTCCTTTAAAATTTAACCTGTGTGCAGGGGGAAGGCACTCTAGCACAGGCTTTGATCACTCCAGGCAAAGCATGGAGTGCCAGAGTAGTGTTACAGCCAGACCAGAGGCATTAAAACTGCCTGAATTTCTGACAACTGTTGAGAGAAAAGCTTAGCCTGGAGGTTCAGAAAGAGAATTTTGCCCTTGGTTTCCTTGATAGGGTTTGCACATAGGATTTGACGAGAAGTGTTACTTTGGGAGTCAGCATAAAACCCAGGCTGTGTAGCAAAACTCCAGTGGAGTTTCACTCCACCAGTGGGCCTCAGAGGTTTGTAGGGACAGAGAAACTGTGTTGGCAGCGAGGAAAGGGAAACCTGTCTCTCTAAGTGTGGTATCAGTGGGGTTCTGCTCAAAGCAGGAGAGCCCCATCAATTTGCACCAGCTTGGCACTCACCTGGTGGTCTTTGCACATACAAAGAGCTAGGGATGAAGTTATTGTAGAAGGATTTAGGTTGGGAGCTGCGTTTGGAGTCATCAGTGCTTCATCTCCTGCAGAAGCCAGGGTTTTTCCTATAGAAACAAAAAAATACATCCCCACAAGTAATATAGATGTAAAATCAAACTGATCACGTACAACTCTTATTTATAGCTTGTGAAATAATGTACAAACCAGAAGGCAAACTGGATGGTTTGAGTTAAAAACCAGTTGGCTGGTAGCCTGGGTTTTCTGGAGGCTCCCTAATGGTGGGGTTTTTTTGTGGAAAAGGGGATATCTGACTGGCAAATTAAGAAAAGAAATACATATTTTTAGTGTAATTTCTTTTTTGCCCCTCACTTGAGATTGGAATTGTGTTGGAAAGTTTGATTCCTTCTCCCAGATTTGTCCCCACACGTCTCTGAGTTGGTCTTAATTTCTTAGTGGACTAAATTATAGCTTTATACTGCATCTGTGTGACAGGCCAGAATGAAGCATGGTTCTCAAGCACAGCCTGGAGAATGAAGTGTTACGTCAGATGGGAAATGGGCCACCTAGCCTCTTTTCCCTGGAGTCAGTTACACCCACTGCCACCAAAAATAAGCCCACCTTCTCTGTCTGTCCTCCTCCGATCTGTTTGCATATTGAAGTTCATTTCAGAGAGGCAGCTTTTCCATTTCTCATCCTGGGATCGCTTCTTACACCTCAAGGTGCTCTTTGGGATGACAGGAGGAGGTGAGCTTTCATATAACACATGTTAGTCCTTTCTCATTTTCTCAGAGAAGCTTTAGAGTCGGTTCAGAGAAGAGATTGATCACCTGAATCAAAACCCAGTGCACTGACCTGGATATCTAACCTCTGACCCCTCTTCTAGGTGAAATCAGGGTGGCTTTCGTGCTGTACAACAACCTGGGCACCTATCTCTCCACGGAGAACGCCAGCATGAAGTTGGGAACAGAAGCAATGTCAACCAATCACTCCGTCATTGTCAACTCCCCCGTCATCACGGCAGCAATAAACAAAGAGTTCAGCAATAAGGTTTACCTAGCTGATCCCGTGGTGTTCACCGTCAAGCACATCAAGGTGAGCGAGTTCCAAAAAGCACTTTTTAATTTTTTTTTTTGATTTCTAAAGCAAAGTGACACAAAAGTTGGCTGATGGGAGGCCCCCAGCAGTCCTTGATTAGATTTTGAATTATACATTTGTTCCTTTGCACTTCATGTTATTTATGGAGGCCGTCTCTTTTTGCGTTGCATTAATAAAAGTACAGAGAGAGTCTCCTCTGAGCTGATGCCCATTGCTCAGTTGCTGACACACGTCATTCTGTAATTAAAAACTACCGATATATTAGAACAGACCATAATATTATTTTATCATGGTGGCAGGGGATATTAGAGGAAAGTGGAATTACAGTGAAAGAGGACAGCTAGTCCTCCTGTTAGCCAAGCAGAGTCATTGCGAAAGTTGATTGCTTAAAGCAATTAATTTCTCTGCTCTGCAATGCAAATGAAGCAATCTGGTTTTGAAGAGCTGGATTTAGTCTATGGCTGAAATTAATCAAGAACAAAGCACTAAGTTTGCATTAGCAAAGAGAGCAGTGACAATCTAACTTTCTCTGGTATCGGCAAGTAATACTTGACGTATAAACCGCTGCTGTTTGTTTATCTAAAATTAAAGGGTGAGAGTTACAAAGTGCCTCTGGAAAAGAAAAATAGTGCATTTAGAAAGCGCTGAAACCCTATCATTTTTACTGCATTTATTCATTTCTTCTCTGCAGCAGTCAGAAGAAAATTTCAATCCAAACTGTTCATTCTGGAGCTATACAAAGCGTACGATGACGGGGTATTGGTCCACCCAGGGGTGTCGCCTGCTGACAACGAACAAGACGCACACCACGTGCTCCTGCAATCACCTAACCAACTTTGCTGTCCTGATGGCACACGTGGAAGTCAAGGTAGGCGTTGTAGATGCACAGGCTGCCAACGCACTGGGCAGGAAATGTGGTCAATGTGGCACTGTTTTGTAACTGCAAATGGGAGCTGAGTGGGGAAGTTGCTGTGTGACAGTAGCTCTAATGGTAGAAACCACCTGATGGAAATGTTCCTCCTGTTGAGTGGAGAAACAGGAGGTTGTCACACCAATGCCAAGCCTGTGTTGAGCTCCTGGCATGGGCAGCTCTGAGTTGAGGATGACTAGCAAGCAGAATTAGCTGTTAGTGCATCTTTTGCTAACTGGTGCAGTAAGCTCCTTATGCCATCCTGCTGTTCATCCGTCCAAGGCCAGTACGTGATCAGTCAGTTCACTTGTCTGCATTTAGGTCCACGGTGTAATTCTGGCTTCCCACATGACTATCCCCACTGGAGCTAAAGAAGTGATTCCTGAAAGCAGGCATTCCTCATGGTAGCAGCAGGCTGGGCAGTGAAGTGTTCATTTGGGATTTTATTCAAGAGCAGGAGGATGGTTGAGAATAGTCCTCTATTTCCTGAGCTGTCTTGGCTGTCTCTGATTAAAAACAGTCTCAGCTGCAGTAGAAAGAAGAAGAGGAGGTCTCGATGTACCAGAGACTTTGGCCTTGTGTTTTAATGTGTGGCAGGGTCTTTTCTTGTGCACAATCCATGGCTCTGAGCCTAGATACGGATCTGGCCTCTTCTGTGCGGGCAGAACATTTCAGAGCCACTTCCGTGGCTACATAACCACAAATCCTATTATGCTTTTAAAAGATCTTTTCTAAAATAGTCTCCCAGTGTCACTCCTTTGTATATTTTTGTTTCACTTAATAATCTGAAGAGCAATGTGAAGAGCTCCAATAAAAATACGTGTTAAAGCACAGTCATGCATGACCAAAGCTCTGCAAGAAAACAAAAAGAAAGGGAAGCCTGGCAGGACATATGCCACAACAGCTGGATCCAGCTGAGAGGGACAGGATAGATCTGCTGCTGCTGCAGGATGATGGATTTATTGTATTCTGCAGGAGTCACTACCGCTCCACAAGACATGCCATTAAATGGCAGTGACATTATCCTGGGAGACGTCTGAAGAAACGGCTTTTTGAGAGCATGTGTTTACAGGTTAATGGCATTCTGCAGCCCGAGTCTGGTTTCGCCCATTTCCTGCAACCACTTGAATTTTCAAAAGCAAATTGTGTGTTAGGCTGGTTATCATCTGCCTGGAGTTAACAGATAGACCTGAGTCACTGAAGTCAGAGGTTGCACCTGGGAAATGCAGATAGCTTTCCACTCCGCTGACGTGAATGAGGGTGATCCCTACTGCGTGGTGCAGATACAGGCTGGCACTGAACAAGCCTCTTCCCAAACCGCAAGGGGGTCAGCCTTGTCTGCACGGTGTTTCACCCAAACCTCATTAGCTTCGGAGCGCTGGTGTTATCTCGCCATGCAGAAAGGGAACGCGAGCCCCTTGCTTGCCCATGCTCAACCAGCAGGTTGGAAAGACCTACATCTGGAAGCTTCCTGAGTGCCAAGCCAGCGCACCGTGAGCCAGTGGGTGTTAGCGAGTGCCCTCAAGACTTTCAGGTCATGTTTTATCATTTGGCTGCCGTCGAAGTATCATTGCTGTGAGAGCCAAACTGGCTCCGCTGTGTTGATGCTGATGCAACTGGACAACTTCCTGGCGCGTTGCTTTAGTGGTCATCTGTGTCTGAGGGCAAAGGCAGGTGTGTACCTTGCAAACATCTGCAGCTCTTCCCTCCAGCACTTTGTCGCCTTGCTGGTCCTGGCAGCGCCGTCTCGCTCCGGTCTGCTGGTGGAGCTGGCCGTATGGCTTTTGGCAGAGCTAGGAGGTGGCTTGTGTGACATTCCTGATGTCGTTGCAATGAGCTGGTTGTAAAGTCTTGGCAGCAGAATAGCTGTTGGTTTGGAAAGGTGGAGGTTTAAAAAGAAACATGGGGCTTGTTGATGTTCATTGACTCGCACTCGTCTCGCACAGCCATAGAATCATAGGATGGTTTGGGTTGGAAGGGGCCTTCAAGACCATCCAGTCCAACCGTGCTTTTGAACCATTTCGTTGTCTTGTGTCTTGTACAAAAAGCCATTCCTTGCTTCAAAGACCTTTTAGCCATCCTAGAGGTGGAACCATCCCTGGGGGAAGGATTTTGCATGCTTGTGCCAGACCTCCTACAGCAGTTTTCTGGCCACTGCCTAGGGTCTGTAAAGAGGATTGTTGTACACACAAGAATTAATGATATTCTCAAAGTTTTGCAACAGCAACCGTTTTCTCCTGTAATTGAGATTTGTAGTTTACTGACTTCAGTTTGCCATATTTCTGGATCCGTAGGGAGCCACCTTTGCTTTAATGAGTATCCACAGCACCCTACCTAATGAGACTGAACACCACATGTCATGGAAAGCGGACATCGGAGTCCTCCTTAATCAAAAGCCAGCACCAATTTGACAAGTGTCACTGCTGGTCCTAAGCAATCTCCCTCCCTGGTAGCACAGCAAAAGACCGTGTTCTCCAGAGGAGACCTCGGTGGCTGCTCCGTGAGTTACGGGTTGGGATTTAATTATTAGCAGAGCGTATGTGGCGAGGCGGAGCTGGAAGGTAGCGCTGTTGAGGAGGTGATTGATGGCCTTCTGGTGCTCTAGCGTGGAACAGCAATATGTCTTTGTCCGAAGGGGCAGAAAATGACATTGGCTGACCACAGCGGCAGGGATTTATTGGTGTGCTTCAAGAGCAGAAGTTCCTAGGATCAATTCCAGCCTTAATAGGACAGTATCTGATTAAGAGGAGGAGATTTTAATCTGAGGATGCTTTCTGCCTGTTAAAAATTAGTTGGACCCGGAGTTTCTTATTCACCCATGTACTTCAGTGGGCTAAATAACAGTGCTGGGAAGAGAGATGGACCCAGAGCCACAGGTACCCATCCAGCTGCTGGTAGAGCCCCAGCTAACGTGGGAACAGGACAGCAAGAGCTGCTGGTGCATCCTTCTAGTCAGGTTGACCTTACAGACCCACAGAGTTCATTGCCCTTTGGAACAATTTCCTGGGAAAAATGAGAACTCCCCTTTGGAGAGAGATTTAAAGACTTGGAAAGAAATCACTGTTTTCATCAGGAAAGAAGTGCGTTTGGCCTGTATGACGGGAAAAATGTTGCGGTCTCATAAGTATTTTGTTTAGTTATGAGATACGTTTAACATAGATGAGATCTATATTAGAAATCTATTGTTTGTATCGGTAACGTATCCGTTATGACCCTTAAACGCTATAAAACCACAGTGGTTCCCATGCCATGGGACAAAGCCCGTAATTAAATAAGCCGCTCTACCTATGTAATAGCTGCCGAATTATTCAGAATTTACAAGCTCTTTTTCATACAAGCCTGCGCTTTGCATCGTAATAATTATAGCAGATGCATCTTAAATGTACCATGGGAAAAATATGCAGCCAGAAAACAAGTTCAGTGCTGGTGGGAAAATGCAATTAAAAAACCCACCCAAAACAGAATAATTAAAGGTACCTCCGGGCAGATAAATGCTGCTTATCAGTGTGTGGTGAATGCCAGAGCTTACTCTTCTTTTACAAATAGAGAAATAAATAAAACAAGAGAGAAAGTGGGGAAAGGAAGAAAGGTGTTTTAACTGCAGCAATTAATCGGGAGCTTTCAGATGTTATTCCATACCACACACACGTTACACCACGCTAATTATTTGGGGAAAGGAAGCGTAAGGCAAGCTGAGGAGAGAAAGGAATCAAAATATATGAAGTCAAAATGGAATGCTGTGGTCCATTGCCTAAAGCAATACAGCCATTCCAGGTGTAAAGAGCGAGCTGGAGTTATTGCAGTGCTGGCGTATCCATACATTAGCACTTGTGGGGTTGAGCAGCAGTGAACGAAAGCAGAAGTGGGCGCGGGATCGCAACAACACGGCGACCGCAGAATTAAATTACTGAATGTGGTGAAATCGTTTTGTGCCTTCAAAGGTGGTAATTTTCAAAGAAGAATACATACTACACATTGCAAAAAGCAACTTATTCTGTTATTAAATAAGAACTGGTTTAATTAAGCAGAAAAGTTATGAAATCTGCTTGTCTTGTATGAGATTTTTAAATCCACAACACAGCAATATTTGAGCTTGTGTTAGGAATAGAAATCTGTGACTCCGATGAGTTGTAAACAGCACGTTTGATTATACCTTAGGTCAAATATACCCATTAGGTCAGGTAATCTCTGCTTATGGGGTCAATTCAGAGTTGTACCTGGTAGCAGTCTTTGAGCTTTTTCTCTGGGTGGGCAGTAAAGTCTCTCCAGGGATTTTCTTGCTTTCCCTCCCCTTGGGTTGACACAGGTTTCGGGTTGAGCCGTATTTCAACCTTAATGTGTCTACATCTGCCGGGGTGAACGTCTTGCTGGTCCTAGTCTGTGCTTTCTCCAAAGCATTGGCCCAGATCTGCTCAGGCAGTCACTTTTGGGTGTCCAACGCAAAAAAACTAGAGCCTGGCTTCAGAAACACACACTTTGAGGCCTTGCTTTTGTAGGTTTTTGGCTTGGTGCTTATGGGCATCAGAAATTCGAGCCTTACCCTATTTCTTGCCACCCCCTTCCTTTTTGGAGGAAAGCAGGGTGAAGGTGAGGACCAAAGCGAAGGCAGTGACCATGGTGTGGAGGAGCCACGTCCCAGCTGTCTCCTGGCGCTGGGCTGGGTAAGACTGCTGCTGTGACAGCACAAGCTGATGATGCCGCGACCAGATTTTTCTGGGAACTCAAATTAACAAGCCGACAGCTTGGCTGGGTGCATGTCTACATGAGTTTGGCACAGCCGCCGTAGCTCATTTCTTGGGTTGGAGATGCCTTATGAGTAAGCAGAGCTGCACCGCTTTACTAAATCCAGTCAGCACAGGAGGGCAGGATGATGGATGAAATCGCTGTCCTGAGCCTTTCCTTCTCTCCCAGCCCACACAGCTGGATCTCACCTGAACCGCATCCCAGCTGCAGCAGTGCTGGCAAGGATGATGGAAATGCTGGGCTCTTGCCATACGCTGTATCTGCAGTAGGGTTTGTAACGCGTGGTGAGGTGAGGTCTGCGCCCATTTTTCTGTGCACACTAGGCCCCATATCACTTTATTCTGGCCACAGAAGGTTCTGTGGCTTGTGCTGGCTGCTGCTTCTGGAGGTCACAGGCAGGCTTCTGCATTTTGGGGAGAAGGGGCAGAAGAGGAGAGGGGTAGAAGCCACCTCAAAACCTCTCCTAGCTGCATAGCCATGGCAGGCAGTGATGTTAGCCAGCCAAAATGTGCCACAGGAAACCTCAGGGTTTCCTCCCAGTCCATGTGGCCCAACTGATGCTTTTGGCAGACCAATAAAATCATTTGTTTCTCAAGTAGCCCTTTACACTTAGCCACAAAGCATTGCAGCCAGGTCAAAGCAGATATCTTCTCTAGACACTGGGAATAAGAGCAGAGGGAGCCTGTACAGCCCTGGACAGCTACAGATCCAAGGAGCAGCATCGGCAACGCACAGGAGCTCAAACCTGTCCCACTTGGGTCTCTGCCCAGCCCAGCACACTGCCAGCTCCCAGCGGGCACCGAGCGGTCATATCTGAGAAGTCGATGACACTGTGTTTTTATTTACTGCTTGCTTATTCCTCCACCCCCAAACATATTGCTCTTTCCATTCCTGGAGGGACAGATTAGGCAAAGGAATGTGTCCTTTGCTGCTGGCAGCTCGGTTTGGCTGCTGTTTTCTTCTACTGATGTTTTTAATAAGGAAGGAAATGGCTGTTCATCTTGGGGAGAGCCGTTCTGTCATAAGCTGATATTCCCTGGGATTTGTTTTTATTAGCTCGGCTCTGGCGTGCAGGCGCTGCCAGAGCTGCACATTGCTTTCCCAGCCCGGAGAATATCTCGGCTGCCTGCTGGTCCCTGCTGTGGTTGCTACCAAGGCTCCTCTATCTCCTCCTCCACGAGTTCCCATCCACGCTCTCCTCCTGCAGCTCTTGACCCCACCAGAGCAAAAGCGGGGCTTTATTCCAAAGCCAGGGAAATCTTCTTTTGCTGGGCTTTTGGGTCAGGCTCGTGCCCAAAGAGTAAATGTAAAAACGTATTTAATATAGAAACCTTTTCACTGAAGCGGATTATTTTATTTCTTTCAATTCCTCAAGAAATTGTTCCTGTGCTGAAAAATAATCGAGTGTCAACTTAGCTGGAAAGCTAGCATAGCTTTAGGGGTAATGAAACTCAGTGGCTTGCACGCTGGGCCATGTAGCACCGGTCTTCACAGCCATGGTGCGTTTGGGCAAGGAGGTGTTTGGTGGATGCTGTTTGGAAATTGTCCCTTGAGCTGACGTCTGGTATCTCCCGTGGGCTATTCTGGTTGCCCAGGCCTTTGGGGGATTTGGAAAAGGACAAGCTGACTGTTACCAATACACTGGTGGTTTGGGGTTTATTTTGCATGCTGTAGGGACCTTAGGACTGGCAGGGTGCTGAAAGGATAACGTTAGCAGCTGTTTTATCCTTGGTCAGGGGGAGCTTGGACAGTGCTGGGCAGGGTGAAGAGAAAGATTTGCTCCTCTTACACAGCTCTGCAGCTGAGGGAGCAGGCTCGGACGCCACGACCCAGCTACAAGACTCTTGGTGTGCTATTTATCATACTTATCATACCATGGGAAGGATGCTGGTGCTTATCGTCTCCTCCCTGACCCATCCACGCTTCATGGCACCTGAAATCAGGCCTCCCAACCAGGATGGAGCACACATAGCCTTTGAAATCCAGCTCTCTTTTTCTCTTGGACTTTACTAAAAAAACTACAAATTCTTTTTTTTTTTTTCCCCTGAGGTGTTTTTAAATTGCTCTTCTTCTCAGTTTATTGTTACTATTCCTTTTTGTTTGTTCTTCTGTGAGTTTGTTGAGGGGGATTTTAATTATGGAGAAGTTGTTTTTATGCTTGTTTCCCAGCACTCCAGGGATGGGTGTTATGTACATAAAATCAGTCTTATCATTACAATTAATATTAAAAAAGCAGAGTACTAAGAGTGGTAATAATACAGCAACTAAGTCTGTGTGGCTTGCTAAGCAGGGTGAGCTCCACGAGCAAGTGGCCTTTCCCTGAGGTTCCTGGTCTGGACCATGATGGCAGGATCCCTCTCCAGGAGGAAAACCACCCCTAATTCCTACATTGCATCCTAAAGTCAGCAGAGCAATGGCTTTGTGATGGAGATACAGGAGCTGAGACCTGTGAAATTCATCTCATGCAAGGGAAAAAGGCCTCAGAGAGCTTTCCCTGCTCCAGGCTAACTTTGTCTTAGGATAGCTGCATCTGGATGGGATGGATGCATCTGGAGAAAGTCCTCCTGGTTGCTTTCTCCTTGCATCTGCTCATGTTAGCTGCCTTGCCCCACTTGCCCAGCTCCAAAATTCTCTGTTCCTTCAGCCTCTCAGGGCCATCTAATCCAGGGTTGTTCAGGGAGTTGTTCTCCTGCTGTTCCCCAGCAGCCTCGGATGAAAGCAAGAATGATTTGCAAGGTGCAAGGTTTGCATTAACATTTTTTTGCACCGAGTTAAGAGGGATGGATGAGCTGGAATGACACTGAGATATAGCGAGGCGCGACCGCCAGGAAAACGACGTGTGCTTCATCATCTCGGCTTTCCGGGTGCTGCCGGAGGAGCTGGCTGGAACAGGCATTGCTGTCAGGATCTGCGGCAAGCACACGATGATTTCTCGCCTCTCCGCTGGACTTGCGACCTCTAGTTCCTTAAATATTGGAAATAATCAGGAAGAGCTGCAAAAGTATTTGGGGAAAGGATCCCTCGTGTCTCCAGAAGTCTCCTTGGAGAGAAAACTTCCAGCATGGAAGAGATGGAGAGGAAAGCCACTCCCCATCTTTCATTATCATTTGATGCCTATCACTCGTGCTGATAAAGCCAAGGAGCTGAAAGGTTTGAGTTGTTTCTCCCGGGTGCTGACATAGCAGAGTGTATATCAGGAAAGGCCTGACATTTGATGTGGCTTTATCATTGGCAGGCAGGCAAAGCAAATGGATAAATTAATCACCTTTTCCCTCCATCTGTCATAGGCTTTGATCCCATGGGGAGGAAAAGGTTTCCAGTTTGTCCTGCCTTTTTGAAGTGTGACACTATTGTGTTTGCCAGCCTACATAATGCCTGAGTCATCAAAATGCCAGAAGTGGAGGGGAATGTGAATACCATTGATAACGCAGCCTGGTGGACCGCAGAGCTGGGTTGCAGGCCCCTCTGGTCTTTTTGAAAATCCCCCAGAGGCTTCCAGCCAATCTTTCCCTCAGCTCATTGACTCCAACCGCTTAGCCCCAAGCAACCGCCTCGTGACTCACGACATATTTCTTATTTGCATTTTATTAAGTAATGATATATCTAATTTCACTACATCTGGTGGAAAGCTGTGGAGTTGCGGGCGAGTTTGTCAGCCTGAACAAAGCGGTGGGACACCCTCGGTGTCAGGGCCCCAGCACCCAGAGGTGTTTCTCTGCGCCTATGCTGCCCCTTGCAAAACTTTGGTGCTGGGTTGCCTGACTTTGCTGATGCAATGGCCGTGTTTGTGTGGTTTTGGGGATAAAACTCCAGGACAAGTTCATCACAGGGAATCAGTCACTTTCCAGGCCACCTTAAAATCACTGTTCTGCTACAATTAAAAAGCAAATTCCCTTTAAAAGGTCTGTGTTTTTTTCTGGGTGGCATTCCAGGGATCAGTCTCACTTTCTGGGAGTTTTAAAATACATCTCCAGGGTTTGAAAAAGAAAAATCACACTTAGTTTCTTGCTGAAAGGAAAAGACAAGGCATTTAGGTGATCTCTTTCTGTCCAAAACCTCCAAGCTCATACATCATTGTGAACGTGTAAAAGTCTTTTTTCCCTGTAGGTGAAACAGCTGTAATGAACTTTGGGTTGTCATCTCCAAGAGGTTTTTAATGTGGAATATTTTTAGACCTGAATCATAGTGTTCAATGGTTCTTATGCTGTGCATGGGCTCCTTTGCCATGTTTGCTAGAGACCAGCTATAACATCTTGGTGTTTTCAACAGCAGCATTGTTGTCTCTAGGGTATTTTGGAGTCTCAGTTAGGGGCATGTGCAGTTTGCCAGATGCTTTGGAATCTGTATTTCAGTTTGCAGCTTCCTTGATGCCAGATTAGGTCCGTTTATTAACCTTCATTTGCTACTTGTCCCTTGCGCCACAGCTCGGTGAGTGGATACAAATATTTGGGGAAGAGTCTCAGATGACCCCACTCTGTGTCTGGGATGGATTAGAAGTCACACAACACGCGACTGATGATTTTTTGGTTTGTTTTGCTTCTCTCCAGCACAGCGATGCAGTCCATGACCTGCTCCTGGACTTTATCACATGGGTTGGCATCCTGCTCTCGCTGGTCTGCCTCCTGATCTGCATCTTCACCTTCTGCTTCTTCCGCGGGCTGCAGAGCGACCGCAACACGATTCACAAGAACTTGTGCATCAGCCTCTTCGTGGCAGAGCTCCTCTTCCTCATCGGCATCAACCGGACTGACCAGCCGGTAAGGAGCAAAGAGCTTTCTGCTCTCACCACAGAGTCCCATTTCTGTGGTTGTTTTCAGGTAAAAAGTAAAAGCGTTGTTATACTCCATACATCTTTGTATGTTTATTTGCTAGATTGTGTACGCACATTTGTATCTTTGAACATAATTTATATATGCAAAGTTGTGTCTATTTTAGAATAGTTCGTACAAATTCTCCAAGAGAAAATTGTATCTTCCTTTGGAGAAGGGAAGATAAGAACTCCCTCATTCTTATTAAACCTCCCAGTAAGAGTAATCCGGACTGTGGCATTAATTCAAACACCTTCCCTTGCTATTTTACATCCACCTACAGATTGCTTGCGCCGTCTTTGCTGCCCTCCTGCACTTCTTCTTCCTGGCGGCTTTCACCTGGATGTTCCTGGAGGGCGTGCAGCTCTACATCATGCTGGTGGAGGTTTTTGAGAGCGAGCACTCCCGGAGGAAGTATTTCTATTTGGTCGGTTACGGGATGCCTGCGCTGATCGTGGCCGTGTCGGCAGCGGTGGATTACCGGAGCTACGGCACGGATAAAGTGTGAGTGGGGCTTGGCACTGCTCGGAGCTGGGCAGGAGGGATGGGAGAGAGGAGGAGGAAGGGAAAAAAGAGCCTGGACACCCAGCAGGTTAGGGCAGAGCTTGGCCAGGAGGCGCACCTTGCCTTATCTCTGTGTCTCCAACACACTCTGACGATACAGGACAAATTCACCTCTATAAAAAGGTGTTTACTTGGGGAAGTCCATCAAGGAAAGCTTTATGACATCGTTACATGACATCAGCAGAGGTGTCTGTCCCAACTTGCAGTTTGGTTCTGTGTCAGCAAGGTCATCTTCCTCGAACCACAGAGTATTTCTCCTTTGGAGGGTGAAACACTGCTTTCTTCTTTTTCAAGTGTTCTCTCAAATTAATGGAGCCTGCAAGCGAGATGGGTGGTGACTGTGGAGTACGTTAAACTCTTTGCAAATCAGAACAGCCACGTCGTTTATTGTTCTGAATATTCTTAAATGTTTTCAACATTGCTGGAGCTGGTATCAAAGCACAATTTAGATGATCATGTAACACCGTCTAATGGAAAACAAAGAGAAACTCGATCCTTTGATTTTCTTTGCCAGCTTTGTTACAATAGCAGTAACAATGTGTTTTTATTGACTGTTTGGGTTTTTTTTGCTTTCCTTTGTCAGGCTGCCTTTCCCCTGTCATTTTAACGAAGTTAGCAGCTCAATCTAAAGCCATACATAGCAATGAGCCAGTGGCGTTTTTAAAGCTCTGTTTTAGCATAGGTCAGGTCAGGCCGTGGCAGCAGTTGATATTGTGTTAAATACAACTGCAGAATTTTTGCCTGAAAACCTTATTGACACATATGAACCCGATTTCTTGCAGAAGCAGATCTGTAGAGCGGTGGAGCTGCTCATGATCCATTACCACGCCAGCAGGAAGGCTCGGATCCCAGCTGGATATTTGCGTCGTTGTTCCTCCCATGAGTGGGAGAAGAGCGACCTGAATTTATATAAATGTCATACTTTGTGGAAAGGAAATGGCCCACACAGATAAAGACAGGAGGGAGTAAGTTTTCAAGGAGCTCTGCCAATTTATCCGAAAGTAGTTTGGCTGACCTTGACAGGCCTAGAGGGCAAAGAAAAAGCAACACAGGAGCTAATTACGGTTTCTGGAGAAGAGTGTTTCTATCATATGCCACCCCCTTTCTGCAGGTCACATCTCCTCTTGAGCGATGCAGAGGCCCCCATTAAACCAAGTATTGAAATGTTCTGCCTGGTCCCTTTAGACCAATGTATTCTTGCTACAGTGTTTCTACAGGGGACTTATCTCTGCATGGTGGCCCACACGGGGCACCTTGAGTCTCAAACATGTTACAGCTGAAGGTCCAGCTCCTTGGAAAGCCAGCTGAGATGCTCCTGTGCATCTGCTGGAGCTGCATCCCCACTTACCCAGTCCTCAGTCTGGTATTTTAGTGGCTGCCCTGTGACTTCTGCAGCATTACCCTTGCAGGGCTTGTAGCACCAGAGCGACCCTTTTGACCTGTCTCCTGACTTTTTGGGCTCCTTACCAAGATAACCCATCTAGTTTGTGATGAAAATGAGCACCAACCACATTCTCTTACAGTGCTCTATAACTGTTGGGTGTTGAAAATGTCGTATTTCTTTGCCTCGTAGTAAAGGGAGATCCCCAAGTCCAGGGTGCTGCTTTGGACATGAGATAGCAGTTCATTTGCAACCCTTCTCATCTCTGCAAAGTCCCTCGTGATGCTCTGCGGGGACAACCTGGGTACCTATGTAGGTGGTAGGAGATAGCAGCATGCAGCAGGCTGGCTGGAGAGAAAAGGAGCATACAGCATCCTTTTCCCAAGGATAAAGGCATTTTGAGTGCCTGAGCTACCCAAATATTCCCATGGCATGGAAGGTGCAGGCAGAAAGTTCGGCTGATATTCACTGAACAACAAAACTTTGCGATCTTTCCTTTGAGGAGGCAGCAGTCCTGTGCCTGTGCCAGTAAAATGTCTCTCCCTGCCCACAGGATAAAATAGCGTTTTTAATGATTAAACATGTATATACAATATTTTGCAAATAAATATTTACAGAGATTTGCAGAGCCCCAAAATATTTATTGACAATCTCGAATTCCAGAGCGCACGATTTTATCACGTTCCCATAGTGGGAAATAAAAAACACACAATATGTTTTGTATAACTATCATGCTCCATCTGGTTGATGGATGATGATGTATTTTTCTGTATAATGCTATTAGAAGGGTAGAACTGATTAGAATTTGTAGTGATCTCTATGCCAGGCATACATAATTTGATTGCAAGAAGTTGCTTGGTTTTGCCGGGTTTTGTAAAACATCCTCTGGAACGTATTGCTTGCCTCCCTCCATTATTTATTGCATTTGTTTAAGCGGGACTTATGGAGCTGTTAGTGTTCTTTGGTTTTTGCCTGGCATTTGGTGCCACCATTAATACATCTCAGAATGATTTGCTTAGGCACCCGATGTAGGGTTTCTTGATTTCATTTTCCTTTCGAAATCCAGCTCCCCTGTAACACAGGCCCAGATTGCACAGCCAGGAGCGGGCAGTTGCTCCTCTCGCTGTCTCTTTGCTTGACACTTGGTGCTTGTGATTTTTCGGAAGCACCCCATGTCCTGGTATTCATATTGGCTTTTTGAAGTAGCTGCTCAGTAGAGATAACTCTCTTACACTTAATTATTCCAAGGATTTGCATTGATCCTTCTCCTTTTACTACTTTTATGTTTAAAAGCAATTCAAACCACCCACATTAGGAGATGTAGGGCTAATTAATTTGCTTTTATAACCAAGCAGCAGCATAGTCTCCATCATCCCATTCAGGCCAGCTGGGACTCTTTGCGTGAGCAAACTTAGCTGTGTTTGGCCCTTTCCTCCAAATAAATCAGAAATATTTTACCTCACCTTGTTCTGATTGTAATTTCTAAAGGTGAAAAACAGAGATCCCCACTGCAGACAACGTGGCCCACCAGCACTTCAGAAGTGATTCTGGCGATGCTCACGTGGACTTCCACATGGCCATTTCTTTACAGCCAGGTCTTCAGCTGCTGAGTCTTAAATGGCCACGTCTCGAGTTCTGCTGCAAAAAAAGAGATGATACTGGGGTTGTAGTTTTTAAAAGTTACATCGTTTGCCTTGTCCTGTGCATTAACCAAACCCATTCATGTCCTGGCTGGATCTGATGCTTGACGTCGTGTTGGGCAATGGTGATAAACACAGAAAACAGCATTTGCAGTTGTTGTTAGTGTTTGAGAAGAACTTGTGTCTAAAATTCAGTAAAAGCTGGATTAAGGCTTTAGCAGCCTCCCTTTGAGAGGACTCGCTCAAGTAGCAGGCCATCCCAAATCAACAGCAAGAAGCCATTCCGTATTCCCATACCATCCCGCGTTTCATATCAATGCCTATTACAGATCTCACAGGAAAGCAACCGTGCTTTGAACAGTTCAATATATTTTAGAGAACGTACCTGTAGGTATGTTCATCCGCAGGTGATCAAATTCATCACGCCAGGACTCTCTCTATTGTTTTTCCTCCCCTTTTTGCTCTGCTGGAAAGCAGAACAGACGTGGCAAGCAATCCAGCTGTCAGAAGGCGAAATGAAAGCCCGGTGTACGTATGCAGCCTGTGAGTCCATCAGCCAGTCGCCAACACTTTATGCATGTTAATGTTGCTTGGAAAATAGCTTCTAACAACACGGCCTGCCCTGGGTGGCTCCATTGAACTTGCTTTATTTTCGGCGTTCGCGCTGGGTATTTGAAGGAGGAGGAAGCGTGAGCGATGCAGACGTTGTCCAGCGTTAAACAGAACCTATATTTGCACCCTTGAAAGGCTCAGCTTGTGCATACATATCCCATTACCATGCCCAGACAAGAAGGCTGTACAGCCCCATGAAACAAACTGCCGAGCTCCCCCGAACACCGCGATACATTTAAGGCTCTTCAAATTTTATGGTCCAACGGCAGCTAATGATTGTTTATTGGTTATATTTAATGCACACCGGGGATAGTTTAGTGTTTGATTTCTCTCCATGCAGAAAATAGAGTCAAGTCTTTGTAGTCTTTATTACTCGGGAAAAGCTTTAGGTGAATGTAGCGACTTGTCGCTGTGGAAAAGGAGGAAATTAAAAAGGAAAGGAAAGCAGCGCCAACGGAGCTCGTTTCAAGCACTGGACGCGTCGGCGCGGCTCTTGGAAGAAGCAATGGGCTTTTGAGCAGCGTTCCCCATATCCACAGCCTTTCGGATCACCTGTGTTGAGCTGAGCCCCCGAGCAACTCATTTCCTCCATGGCAGCGGAGTCTGAACTTGCAATAGAGCAAATTCGTGTTCCTGGCGCAGCTGCGGATGGGGGGTCAGAAGTAACTCGGCAGCCCAAGATTAACAACTTTGGGAAGTTGAGTTGCCTGATTGCTTCCTTGTTTCGAGGAGCTCATTTATGCAGCTCATTGTGCGTGTGGGCCTTTTGTTTTTTAAGGGAAGAAAAGCTCAGTATGGTACTTGTCTGATTAGCAATTTACAGCTCCGCAACGGAGTTGGCGGGATGCCCGTGTTTTGATGTTTTGGTCTTCATTTGCATTTTTAATGAGGTATGACTTGAACGGGTTCAAAGTTGCGTCTCTTCCTGATGACCACAATAAAAAAAAAAGGCTTTTTAAAATCCCTGTGCAGATTAGAGGCAGTCCTGCAGCTTTCCGTATAGTCACCCAAGAGCGAGTGTCTTACAGGATTTCATAGAAAGTTGATTTTTCAGTTCCAATAAACTAAAAAAATGACATCACCTCCTTTAAAGCCTGCAGAGAGGTGAAAAAAAGGCACCTATTTTCACAAGCTGTGCTCTTGCTTAGGACCTGGCTCTTCAGCTGTTTCCCATCCACAGCATCTCTGTCTTGTCACCGAATTGTCCCCCACAACCCAAAGGACACGTTTTTTAGGCGAACGGGATGGAAAAGTTCATCTGTTTGTCTAGCTGGAAAGGAAACCAGTTGTTTTGTGCTTCTTTGCTCAGACCGGCAGAGCTTTTCCCTTGTGGTGCTGTATTTCAGCTTCCATTGATTTTTTTTTCCCCGTGTTCCAATCTATACGTGATCAAAACCGGCTGCAGATGTGACCGTGTGGCTGGCCATCATGTTCTGAGGAGTAAAGAGAGAGCTTCTGTCTTTCCTCTTCCCTGGGCTTTCCAAGAGCCAACTTTGAAGGAAAGTTTGCTCCCTAATTTATGTGTGGCAGCTGAGACATCAGCACTAGTTACATTATTTTCCTATGGGATGGGATAGGTATAACATCCAAAATGCTGTATGATGTGTGAGCTGCTGATATTCAGACATCATTTTTCGGGGATGAGGTGAGGGCTTTTTACAGGGACTTCATCATCCTTGAAGCCTCTATTCCTCTGTCAAATCTGCCGACATTTCAGCTGTTGTTATGGATGATACGCAGATGTCACGATAACATAAACCCTTTCCTATAAGGAAATCAGGCTCAAATAGTTTCTACTCACTCGTGTTGTTCCATTACCAGCTGCATCTAAATCACCTTGAACTTCAGCAGCCGTGGAGGAAACAAGATTTCCCTGCAATCACTCTGAAAGCGTCTCGGTTTGCCTCTCGCGGCGAGATTTTGATGCTGTCACTAGAAGATTTTGGATGAACAGCTGGAGAGGCAGTTCAGGAGGGACGGTCACGGAAGTGACAGTGTTTTAATCTGTGACAAATAGCGGTGCAACCGTAAATACCGATGCATCTTCAGGGCTGCCAAGACCCTAAATTTATACGGTCAGGGACGGAAGTGGGAAGCTTTTTCTGCATCTTTGAATTTATCCATATCTCGGCTTTGTCCAGGCATGCAGGTTCAGGGCATGTTTTATTCTCTCCCCGCTGATCCCTTCATTGGGGCTGCAGGTGCTCATCTTTCTGCCTGCTGCAGAGGCCATTGGAAAGGAAAAAACTCTTGACGTGTGCACCGGAGCTGTCATTTGTGACAACTTGTGTCTCTTCCACCATGACAAATGCATATATACAGTTCCTGTCGCTTGCCTAATTATGCACTTCCGTCGGACGTTTAGTATAAGCGTGGTTTTATGCTTTCTTAGTCCTCTGTGTATAAACGGAGCCGTGATTTGCAGCGTTGCAAACACGACAAGATATTATTATTTTAAACATGGTGTGAAACTTCCTTAGAATTTATATTCGTCTGTCTTGTAACCAGTCACTTCCATTTTATCTTCCTGTCGCCTGGAATGAACTAGAAAATGGAAATGTAATTTCCCAGGGGCTTTAAAAAATGTGGGGAGTATTAAATGCAGTTGAAATTAAGCGATTAATAATTTAGTTTTAGGCCATGAATCAACTTCATGCGATAGCGCAGGCCATATGCAACCCTCGAAACATTAGTAGAAACAAAACACTCCGGAGGTTCAGGGAAATAAAACGCTCTAAAGGGGAAGTTGCTGAACCTAATTAAACCTCAGCCTTCTGTTATCAAAATCCTGCTTCCTATTTGCACCAAATTTGCTCCAATCTGCTTGCTGGAAAAATGTCATCTCGCTTGACAGTTGACAGACAGCTTGCGTCGCGTCGGAGCCGGAGAGGAAAGGGGAGCTTAAAGAGAAGCTGCAGCTTTGTGGATGCTCAACGGACCCTTTCCTTAAAAAAAAAATAAATAAAAATATAGTTTTAAGAGTTTGTTCCCAACAGATGCAGAAGGCTTTAGCAACTAGGCCATGTGCCGCTTTCCCCCTGCGTCTTCCACAGGTAATTATCTTACTCCATCAATAGCGCTGTCAGAAATTGGGCACATAATTCAGCATTTAAATGAACAAGCAATGTAATATTTCCTGTCTCCCACCGGCGTGTTTTGCAGCTCACATTCTTCTCTGTCACTCGCTCCCTCTTGATGTATGTCCTGGGTGCAGTCCTTGAATGCCTTCTCTCCCCTGTGTTTCATTACAGATGTTGGCTCCGACTTGACACCTACTTCATTTGGAGCTTTATAGGACCAGCGACCTTGATAATTATGGTAAGAACTCCTAATTAACTACTCCATCTCTCAGGTCAAGAAATAAAACTTTTTTGCTGTCCCTTTACTCTTTATCTTGAATTTACACAGATTAATTTGCGAAAGGCATGTTCTTCTGTGACCCCACCTGGCACAAGCAATTAGACCCTCATTACCAGAGCCTCTCAGCATTGCAAAATACTTGATCAAAACTTGATGCCGCTCGCTGTGCCCCCTCTCTTTTGAACTCCAGGGCAAAGCTTTGCATCGATCGTGCAAAAAAAGGGATATCAGGGGTTGGGGGGAATAAAATGAACCCCAAGAGAGGTTAGATGGGGTTTTTTTTCCTCCCCGGCAGAGGTTGAAGCTCGTGTGACTTCCCAGTTAGCACATTGCCAGCGTATCAGCTAACACAGCAACAAGGTAGAGAACCCGACTTTAGAGACAGCTGGAGTTTCCTCATACTTTAATCGCTCCAATATGGCTTAAATAAACCATCCTTTGTTTGGAATAGACTACGGTTTGGCTAACGCAGCAACCCAGGCGCTCTCACTTCAATGCAGACATTGTCCCTGCTTCTCCTGCGACTGGGGGCCATTTCGGCAGCCTTCCCCATCAGAGAGGGGGCTGTGCCACCAGCTACGACTGTTGGGATTTATTTTTTTCCCCTTAAGCAATGCATTCATAAAAAAGACCTCTTCCTTTTTTGATTACGTCGCAAACCCTGGCCTGGGCTTTTGGGGAACTCTTTTTCCAGGAACTGGCAGCCTTGTTGACGCTGAGGCATTGAAACACCATCAAATCTTTTCCAGAACAAATCAAACTCTTTTTCACGTTTATTTTTCAACTTTGCATTGCTCTAAGCACCTTCAGCAGTCATGATTTCCCTGCCCATCTTCCCCATTACGCTATATCTAAAAGGTATATTCACAGGAAAAAGTGTTTTTCCTTCTTTGCTGTAGGCCTGGCTGAGTTGGATGGTTGGAATGAGTTATCACGACTGTACACCTCTCAGACACAAAAGAGCCGTTACGGCAAATGCTTTTAATTTTCCATAATGTCATTGGATGTTGATGTTGGAGCCAGCCCTGTATCAGTAACATAGGCAGCGCCTGTGTTATAGGTAATGCTGTGGCATCACCGGTCCTGCAGCCTACAGGCCAGCTCACCTTATAAAACGCTTGGCAATTTTCTGCAATTCAGTCGCTATAAAACTGTAGCGAGAGCTAATTTCCTACAGCAAGTCATCTGTTACAGAGAAGCAGCTGACTTTCTCCCCATCACATTCTGCCGTGTCAGGTAACCTTTTTCTTTTCCTTCCCCCACATTGCAGCTTAATGTCATCTTCCTTGGGATCGCACTCTATAAAATGTTTCATCATACGGCCATCCTGAAACCCGAATCTGGATGTCTTGACAATATCAAGTAAGTGGTTGTCTTTTCTTTCTTCCTTTCTTTCTATCTTTTGCTGTTTGTGGCCCTGTTCCTTTCTGAGGAGCGTACAGGGGAACTGACCCTGTATATGGTGATAACCAAGGGCAAATACATTGGGTTATGGCACTGCAGAGTGGTTTCTAATGGGTACCAACAAGTGGCTGCTGATGAAGCAGAGTCTTCGTAAGGACTTGGCTGTCACTAGAGTCCATGGTGGCATTTTCCAGTCAGTTTTGCATGAAGAAAGCAAAGTTGCATTTGCCGTCCTTGAAGCAGATAACCTCCTAGTCCCTCTATGTAAAAGGAAATTGCGCCTGGTAATTACCAGCTAATTATTGCAGTCTCTACGGGGAAGGTGCTGAAATTGTTGGTCATTACTATTTCTCTGTGCTCGGAGGGCGGCAGCCTCACTTCTTTTCTGTTTGTTTTAGCCCCTGACAGATTTAATGACCCAAATTCTCCCTGAAATCTGATTAGTTTCAGCAAAGTTACTGGGAATTTACTTGGGGGTGCCCACATCAGAGGATGTGCTAACCAACCCAGGCGTGTTTTGCCCTTGGACTTGGTTAAATTCTGAACCCTGGCATCTTGCTGTCTAGCAAGCTGCCTCATTATATTGATAGAATATTAGTCTCTGTCAGCCCCTGTTTATTCAAGAACCTCTGGCTTTAATTACTAGCTTCAAAAACGCAAGTGGGATTTCAGGTGCAGCGTGTGATAAGGTGGGGAGACTGCTAATTAGTAAAAGCATCTAATGAACTTCAGGAGGAGGAAATTGTTGGGAGTCAGCACTTTACTGCCCGCCCAGGAAAGGAGAGCGTGCGACACAGCTGGAAGTTGCTTCTCCCCTCTCTTCTGGGGTGGGAGGAGAGCTCGTTAGGAGATGACTGAACTGCACAGTTGCAAGGCAGGGTCTCGGCAAGGTTATTGTTCTTGCAGACGTGGCTTTAATTTAAACCAAGTCTTAAGTGACCTTAGGACTTCCTCAACAGGCAAGGCTTGCGTCACCACTGGGGTGCCACGACCTGGCACAGTCCTTTGGGGAAGTTTTGTTTTTGTAGATATAACTTTCTGTCCCTGCCCTGGTTGTGGCAGTTTCTCTTGCTGTGGCTTAGCTAGAAGATGAATTTGGAGGAGCAGTCCCTCCTGGATGGCCAGGCCTGATCCCAGTGGGATAGTCTTTCATTCGGTCTTGGATGAGGCGTTAGAGGAATGGTACATTTAATAACACACACTAATGTGACTACCCGCCATGCGTTAGTGCTACGGGACTGCTCACTGAGAACAGCCTTTCCGAGGTTACCCACACAAAATCTGTCTAGAAAGCCTTGCAGTATGACATTTAAATTAAAAACTGGGTGGGGAGGGGGGAACTAAAGCCCTTATAATTAAAGCAGAGGTAATCATTGCCTTCTGAATAATCTTCCTTGTGCTAAGCTCTAGTGTCTTTGTTTAACATGTCAGGAATTTACACAACCAGTTGCGTCAATTATAATGTCACTGTAAAATAGTTTATAGGTTGTCTGGCAGATGAGTGTCTATTCCTGATTTGACTTCATTAAAACGTTTTGAAAACACAAGCAAATCAAGTGCTTCTGAGTATGTTGCTGATATCCTTCCAAACACGTTGCTTCATTGCAAGTGATTTTTTATGCTTGAAAAAAACATCCATGTGATATAAACTTGGGAAGACCCCAAGTTCACCCTACGAAGTTTATTAAAACAAGAATTTCGGAAGGGGCTTGATTGTAATTTATGAATACCTAAGGAGGACAAAGTTAAATCTCTAAATCAAAGGCACGTGTTTTCTCAATGTCACATACGCTGGAGTTAGGAGAAAGTGCAGATTTTTAACAGAGGCGAGAATTCACCTTTGAGAGAGGAGTTGAATTCTCCAGAAATCTTTTAGGTAAGATCATGGTCATCTTCTAGATAAGATCATGGTTTTCTTCCAAAGTCATTGACCTTAGCAGGAAGATTCTTACTGAACTCACCTCCATGGGTCTGTTGTGTTGGTGAAAAGACGCCCTGATCCGATTCTCAAGACGCACTATGCCTTCACTGCCTCTCAGCCTTGCATCTTGTCTTATCAGCTTATATTTAATAAAAGCCAACAAACCAAACAGAGGGTCTGCATCGGAGGGCCCCTTGCTGCTGCCATCTGTGTGTGACAGCTTTACGGCGCACGGGGAGCTGAATGGGAGCTTGTTCTCCCAGTTCATTTCCTAGCGCTGCTCTGCGTTAGGCTGCGGTGAAGCTCTCGCAACATAAATCCTGAGCCTGTTCAACAACAGCAAAATACTCGATTCCCTATGGCAAAGTAAAAATAAAGGCCATAAAATATTTTAATAGGCTGTTAATAAGCGCCCCTGCAATCTGGTCCTTGCCTATGTCACTTTAAAGGTTAGAAATACATTGTGAAGTATAGAAAATAGAGAGCCAAATAACTCCACTTAAATTAATGAACTTGATAAGGGATCAGGTGTCACCTGGGATGCCTTTAATTACTGCACCAACAGAAAAGCCATTCAAAGGGCAGTGCCTGAACCAGATGCTGCGTGGCTGAAAGATTTGTAGGCACTGTGCAAAGCTGTAAAAATAAACTTCCCTAACCTTCAGGAACAGTCCCTGTATTATTGTGTCAGCATGGGAGAATCTGACATTCCCGCGATGGGGCACTGGGTACCCAGGAGTTATCCAGCAGGAGATTTGATGAGTGCTGAGCTGGTTTACTTTTTACCTTCGGTAACTTTTCTGGCTCAGCCCAGCACTTTTGAAAGTGATAAATCTATGCCTGTTGTTGTGAGTCCTTCCCTCTGTGTTGAGAGCATCCTCTCTGTAGGACAGGTTGGTATTGAGCCAGCTCAGTGGGTTGTGCCCCCTGAGGCAGCAAGGTTCGTGCTCTAATCCTGCGTTTTGGGCACGTGGTCAGGAGAAAATGCAAGTTGATGTATGTGGGATAAGTTGTTTGGAGCTGCAAGAGCTCCTGTGCCTGCTGCTGTTGCCAGAAGGGCAGACTAGATACCATTTCACAGCAGGGTGAAATCCATCACCAGGAGCAGCACCTAGGACCTTTTGAGAAAGTTCAAATTAACTTCTTCCTTCAATACATTTAAACAGAAATTTTAAGGGTTCTCCTGGGATGAGGACTTCTTCTGCCTTTTAAAGATCACTTTAGTTGATCTCTTCTTCCATGTAACCAGTGATAGGACAACAGGAAATGGCCTCAAGTTGCACTAGGGAAGGTTTAAATTGGATGTTAGGAAAAAATATATTTACTGAAAGAGTGGGCAAGCACTGGGAGGGGCTGCCCAGGGAGGTGGTGGAGTCACCATCCCTGGAGGTGTTGAAGAAGCACGTGGATGTGGCACTTCAGGACGTGGTTTAGTGGCCATGGTGGGGTTGGGTTGATGGTTGGACTTGATAATCTTAGAGGTCTCTTCCAGCCTTTATGATTCTGTGATTTTCTATTAACGATGCAGACAAGCATGCCAAAGCAGCTGCCTCTTGGATGGTAGCTTCTGAGCTTGCCTCCTCAGACATGGCAAAAAGGATGTTCCTTCCCAGCCTTTCCCAATGGCTGTTTCTGGCTGGCTGAGGTCCACTGTGGCGATTGCTTTTTCATCTCTTCATGGCTTGTCAGCCAAAATTAATGAGCAGAGATGGGCAGCAAGGAGCATCATTTAGTCTTGGGTAGCTCTGCCCTCATCACTTGTATCTTGCTCATGGTTGAGAGTATCTCGCTCACCTGAGAGTGTAAGTGGGATGTGAAGGGTACACGAGATTGCTCATGAGCACAAACAGATTAATTGTCAACAAATGTAGCCAGGAAGGTGTTGGTTGGGAGGATTAATCCCTCCAGCCCTTAGAAGCTTGCAGGGAAAGCTGAGACAAAGACAGATCTTTCATGCCAGGGACTACACCAAGCTTTTTGGATGGTGAAAGCCTGCTGTGCTGCTTGCATCTATAGGCTGTGAGGTGGAGACTATAGGCACATCAGTGCCGTATTGATGCAATCTCGGTAGCAGATGGCTCCTCGCGAGGACGTGTTACCAGCTGGAGTACTTCAGAGCAGCTGTGAGGCTGTTTCACCGGAGGTTGCTGCCGTGTGGAGTGATTTCTGGAGTCGAGCAGCTCCAAGTCTCTTCACGCTTCTCCGTTGTACTGGGGAGATGTTTGATGTGCGAGGTGTCTCAGACTGTCAGAGACTGGAGTATGCTGAACCTTTTCTATCTTCACATTCCTGTAGGAAGCTTTATATGATAAAGGGAAATGTATTTATAAGGGAATTAGTCCAGCATGGTTCTCCAGTTTCCCACCCATGTGTGTAGTAAGGCTTCTTGTGGTCCTCAACAGGTTTTTCATCTGACCTGTGCCAGATGCTGCAGCGTGACAAACCTGTGTGTTTCCAAATGCTTTAACTCCCATTCTTGGTGCAAAATGTAAGGTTTCAGACAAACCCTCTGCCCAAATGCCTCTGTGTTTTGGGGCAGTACGATACGTGTTCTCCAGCCATTTAAATGCTGCTCATTCCAGTCATCATGGTGTTAGTAAAGGGAAAAAAAAAGGGGTTACACTGATGGTAATCCAGGTGTGCTCTTCACTACATCTACTGAAACTGGAGGTCCTGTCTTTGCCATATCCTGTTACTGTATCCCCAACGGAGTGCATTGGTTTCTGACATGGAAAACTGGGAAATATTGGGTGGGGAGTTTTCTCCTAGCAGAGACCAGAAGCCATCCTTCCCCTTCCTCGCAGACCCAGCCTGTCCTTTGAGTTCCCCACAGGCTTCCATCCCCTCTCCCCACTGGTGCTGCCTGGCTGTAGCCGGGTTTTTTTAGCATCTCCCCAGCCAGACCAGACTTCCTGACATTCTTCTGCGCTGCAGTATGTGGCAACGAGGTTTTATTTTATTTATTTTGGAAGGGCGACGTGGCAGCTGGAGCTGCCAAGCACCATTGCGGACCCGCTAACAAGAAGGCAGGAGGCGGAGGG